AAGCGCGGGTCTGCTGTGTGCTTCTCTGCCCTTTCCACCGCTTCCGCGTCCTGTGCTTTTAGCATTAAGTGACTGCTTGACACAAGCTAATATACCATCGACTTCACACACGCCCAAGTGTGTGTTTGCAGTCGGGGTGATCCTGACCGGTAATCCCTGCCCTGCAGGAAGCGAGTTGTGTCCCCGCACAATGAGTTTCTCAAACTCATTCCCTTGGGGCTAATGTTTCACCAGGGCGGTGATGTCCATGTGTCCCTGCAAAGCTGGCAGATGTTGCAGGGAGTGCTGTATCTTGGGTGCTTTTGAATCGGGACCCCATTCTGCTTAAAAAGGAGCTCAAGCAGCAGCGGTAACAGTCCTGGAGCAGTGTCAGTGTCCTTCATTGCTCTGCAGTTACCTTTTCTGGTGGTGCCAGGAACTCCATGTTGTTGGGTACATCTTTCCTCTAAGATCTTATGCCAGCAAACCACCAGCTGGTTTGTTCTCCCCGCCCACCTTTGGCTTTAAATTATCTTGAAGTCTAGTAGTATGTAGCTTCTGCTGTGGTAGTGAAGGTGATGTGTAGGTTCAAAACAATAGATAGTAGCAAACATGTTTGTTAGGTTCCAAACAGGTTCCCAAGGATACTTCAAAGATTTACCTAAACTTCAGACAGTAGGTGCAAATGGACAGGACTGAGGTACCAGTGCTATATCCCGCAGCAAGGCATGCAGAACCAAGTGTCCTGCTCTTGCATTTTAGCGAGAGTTTGCACCTTCTCCTACAGAAGCTGTCTGTCTTTCTTGCATTTCCTGCAAGATAATGGCAGGTTGTGTACTTATTTATAAGTTCTCATTGGGTTTCTTTGCTACTCAGCTCTTTAGAATTATTGCATTGTTTGTCTGCCACCATTCTTAAGTTCAAAAAACCTGTTCCTTACAGTTGCTTTCTTTAATTCCTCACCTTTCGTTGTACCTGTATGTTTGCCGTGTTTTCCTGATTATACTCCTGTTTTACTTATTATCCTGTTAAAGACTAAAGCTGAAGCTGTCCAAAAATCTCCTATACTGCCTTGCAAGCCACAAATGTGTCCTCCTTAAGCACTGAGTCAGCATCTGCTAATGCGAAGACAGGTGTCTTCTGTCTCTATTGGTCTTGCTAGCCAGCTTTAAAAACAAGGATTTTTTTATCAGGTAAAATGAGATGTAATAGGGCTCCTTATGGGAATTTTATTTTGACTGCCATTTGGCCATTCTGTGTGGCAAGCTCTGCTTTCAGCCTGACGCTTAGTCAACATTTGAGGCTGATTATGTTTTTCTCAGTTTCTCTCAGAAGGTTTCACAGTCTAAATAAAACTATTTCAGTCAGGCACATACTAAACTAAAACAGAAAATATCTTTATCTAGTAAGGGATAAAGAAGAAGTTGCATGGAAATCGCAAGACTGAATTTGATCCATGGGGATGATCATTTTTGTCTTCTGAAGGTTGCTGCATTTTCTGCCGTGCAGGGTGCTCAAGCTGTTGAAGTGATTTTCGTAGTAGTACCTAAGCAAAACCATATCAAACTCACTGTTCACAAAGCGTGGATGCAGCAGGGAGTAGCAAGAGTTGAATCAACTAACTATAACTTTCTTCCTCTCCAGAACAGTGGACAGGTTTAATTTATATTCACGCTTTCAGGAGGATTGTGTTGCATTGAATCTTAATGGTCATAACATTTTCAGTAAAGGAGGTAACATCGCTTAAAAGCCCTAGGAACAATGCAGTTGTTCTATGATGTTGTTTTGCGATGATAATGATTTGCATCCTCTTTGTCCATTTTATTATGTAAGGTGAAGCTGAAAAAGACTGTGCAGTGTACTGTTGCTGTGAAAAATCAACTTCTGCATCCCCTGACGTTGCTGTTAACTGTACAGTGTATTCTTGTGTTAGAACTAAACTGTTTGCCTAAAACGCGCTTGCTCCTGCCACGTAAATGGGATGAGTTGTGGTTGCTTTTAAATGATTCATAACTGCTGTAATTGCCAAAATTCATTTGTAGGCTCTGAGGGCCTGCGTGTTTGTCCTCCTTTTAAATTGTAAAGACAGGACTGCTTATTGTGTAACGCATGGAAAAAGCTCACGCCTCAAAGTTTAAACAAATTCAGCACAGTACAAAGTTATGGCAGAGCTGGAAGTAGATCCTAGATTTCCTGGCTCTTCTCTGCAGCTTCTAATGTTCTTAACTCTTTTTTTTTTCCCTTTTGTAACATATCTGTCATTGAATTTTACTTGGGATTGGTGCATTATATCTATGCAGCCTTACTGTCACAGAGCAAAGGAAAACTTGAATTAACTCATTTTGACGCTTCCTTCTTCAATGTCTTTGTTACAGTTTATATCTGTTATCTGCAGATGAAGCCTAATTATTCATTTTGTTGAATTTGCTCTTTTCCTCTTTCAGCCGAGTGGTTTTACCTTGCTCAGTGCAAGAGGTATGTCCTCATCCTACCTGCTTTTGTTTTGGGGTGATGGGTGGGAAGATGTTAGTGTCTTTTTTAAATCTCACTAATCTGGATCCAAATGTTTCCTGTGCTGTGTGCCCACCAGTCTGCCACAGGTAAGTTACCACCGGTGTAAGCCACCAGTCGAGCAGAGTTAACCTCTTGCATATCAGTGAATTTCAAAGGAGGCAAATGCCTGCAGGCAAAGAACCTTTGGTTGAAGCCACTCCATGGCTTACAGGCAAGAAAAGAAAGTTGTGCAATTCTGCACTGCAGCAGATTTTCCCTGCTGATCAAGGCATTGACTCCAAGCCTTTTCCTGAAGGCAAAGGTAGGAATCCTGTTCCAAGAGTTGAAGCCAGCAATTTAAATGGCACTGAGATACATTTAGATGAAAGTCACAATGGGATGGCTAAACGTACTTCTGAGGGAAAATGTTACGCTTGCTTTCTTCTCCAGTTTGCATTTTATGGGTCCTGTGAGGGCAGTATCTAGTTGGTTAGAAGTATGAATTTGGGAGGCTCAGGGCTGGAAATCAGTCATTTCAAAATCTGGTAAACTAAAAACTGTATTTCTTTTACACAATTAAGAACAACATATATATTTTGCTTTTGGGATGAGAAAATTGAAGAATAACGTATTGGGTATGCTATAGCAAAGTGTTGCATTAATGTGAAACAGGCTGAGTATAGAGCTGGTGCTTGTGAACTACAGATAAATTTTGCCAGCAGATTGTCATATTTTACTAAATATTTTTTATATGGTGTATTTTACTTTCCTGATATTTTTGTTTTTACTACCAAATTTTCATTGGAAACAGCTAAATGTTTTATGTGTTAAAAGTTTTGGCTAACTTTAATATTGAAATTTTACTTAACTTTTCAGTATCAAGTTGGGCAACTTTATTCTGTGGCAGAAGCTAGCAAAAATGAAACAGGAGGTGGTGAAGGAATTCAAGTCTTAAAAAATGAGCCTTATGAAAAAGATGGCGAGAAGGGACAATATACTCACAAAATCTATCATTTAAAGAGGTGAGGAAAGCATTGATGCATATTATGGTCACTTGGTGTCGGGTGGGAAATGTTTAAAAGTGAGGGCAGCCTTCCATTGTTTACTGTTCTGGGGTACTTGTGTTTTTCTACCACTCTTTAATTTACTGAATTGTGCATGAATGCTTTGGTGGTGGGAAAACTTGTGAAATACAGTGGATTTTACATATGTGGAATAGAGTAATGGAGAACTGTGCAAAATGTCCGATCTGTGAATAGGCAAATGCATCTTTAAGTAGAAGTAATTTGAATTCTTGGTATATAGCCAAAACGATGGGTTGGTATCACAGATGCTTTGTAGGATAGCCCAAAGGACAGGAATTTTGATATAGAAGGACAGAGAAAAGGAGAATGGTTATTGCATTATAAAGGAAGAATGTTTTTATATGATCTGGTATTTAAGAAGGAGTTCTTACTGCCTGAATGCTCTTTAAAAAACACTCTAAAAGACATCACACAAGTCTTGTGGTGTGGTAGGGTAATGCCGCTCTGAGAGAGAATGAGTAAGGTAAAGAATATTTTCAGAAGTTACATGCATTACAGAGTGGGTAAAACCTGGATTATTTGGAAAACTGACCCAAATGTGGTCTGAACCTCTAGGGATTAACAGTTGATGTTACTCCAGAGGGCTGCAACACCATAAAGGCAGACATGTTGTTAGAATTTGTAATATGTTGTCGAGAGGATTAGTATTGCAAATGTTTATAATTGGGGAAAAAAGATCTTAAAAGTTGAAGAACTGAATACATTTGCAGTTGGTTGCAGTTTTCCTCTTCAGGCATGGTTGAAATAGTTGAATGACCTTCCATCCAAGCTGCAGGCCAGCCACTTACTGATGACCCTGCCGCTTTCCTAGAGAGTTTGGAGGTGAGATCTCTTGGGCAGTGCCCTCCCTGAACAGTTGTCTTTGCTGTTCTTGAAGAGAAAAGAAAGTACAGCTTTCATCGTGATCATAGCGCTTCCAAAATTATTTCTAGCTCACTCTCAATTATCTTATTATTACCTTCCCCATTTTTTTTCATAATTATTTTGTGATCAGTAACATTGTTGGAGTTCCTGCATATTTATCTGTAGATAACTTGTACGTCATAACCTTTAAAGTGTTTAGGTAGAATGTGCCGTTCTTATTAGTGGAAGAAATCGATGAGGAATTTCAGCTGGCAAAAATTTTAAAAATGGTGTCAATGTTTGTTTTTCACAGTAAAGTTCCTGGGTTTGTAAGGATGATTGCTCCAGAAGGCTCCCTAGTGTTCCACGAGAAGGCTTGGAACGCGTATCCCTACTGTAGAACAAGTAGGTTTTCTGCTGTGTGTTTTGCTGTCGGTGTTCAGTAAACGGATGGTCTTAAATGGTTTAGGAGAAAAGAGGGTGCCATCAAGTGGAAAATATATTTCAAATTTTAGTGTTGTGTTTGTGAGATCTCTTCTGAAAAAGAGAGCTGCTTCTGAAGAGCAAACTCAGTGGATGAGTTTACTGGTTCCTACAGTCTTAGCATCCAGTGTCCCTAGAATAAGACTGAAGAGGTAATTCTCTTAAGGTCTGGAGCAGAGCCTGTTTGAAAAGAATTTAATTCTTTATAGTCTGTTAGAACAAGGTGACTGCTTTATTTTAATACTTTTAATTGCTTAAGTTCTAAGAGTAGGCTCTATTTCTTTTCTGTTTCTGTTGGAATAGTTTGAAGTATCTTACAATGAACTTTTAAGGTTAAGGCTAACAAGTCAAAGTCTGCTGAACTCTGCTGACTTGATGTACACAAATGCTGTTAGACTAATTTTGAATATTTTCTATACTGTGAAGCAATCATTATATATGAGACTTTTCAGAAACGATTGTATCTAATAACACTTTCTGTTTCCTTTTCATTCCATGTGTTTCCAATGACCAGTTGTGACAGTGAGTACTTGAATTACTATCAGTCCTATGTTGCATTTTTTTAAAATATATTTTATCTGTTATTACTGCTACAATTGATTCTGACTACAGGCTAGCTCCAGCCTTTTATATATGCCTTGCCAGGGTTCCTGGCATAGAGTTCCTTGTTACTTTATTTGTCTGCACTTGGCTATAGTTAGGAAGAACTGTAATTTGTCAGAGAAATGCTTTCATTTTTTAAATCTTCTTTTATGCCTCTACTTACCATGACAGCTGCATAATATCTGTCCTGGTAAGACAATGCTAAAAAAGAAGGAAAAAAAAAAGAAGCCAAATCAGAGGTTTCTACACTCTTGAATGCAGGAAGAGCAATGAAATAAAATCCATCTCTAAGTGTCTGAAATCCTGTTTCTGTAAAGTGAAATCCTGCCTCAGTTAAAATGGGTTAACTGGGAATCTAAGTGGATCACCATAGCTGGGGGCTTGGGGGTTTTTGGTTTTTATTTTAAGATGTGTGGGAAAGATCATTAAGACTCTATTGCCCCATGTATATATTTTGGTGACCTGTTTCAGGAAACTTACAAGTTTAATGTTAATTGCTTTATCTGCTCACTTGCAAACTTGAGTTAGATTGTCACTAGGAGGATGCGACATAAGGAGTAACAAATGAATTTGTGAACTGTTTAGCTTGACTCATCATGATATGTGTGCGCTCTGGTGTATGCTTTCTTACTTCTGAAATGAGAAGTATTCTGTGATAGTCTTTAGACATCCAATTTAGTGGTAGGTGGACCTTTATGGTCATAATTGTGCTATACAGGAACATCTAATGTTTATTGGCTATTACCCCTGCCTATCAGAATAGTCTCACTTTTCAAAAATTTCATGCAAATGTATTTTAGTTGTTTTGTCTTAGCTGCAGTATTAATAATTTGAAAATTACTTGAACATAGAGGTAAAGAATTTTAGGGTTGAGGAAGAAAGATGGTAAATGACAATATTATTTCTATTTGTATGCACAAAGTTAGAGTTGGATTTCTCAAACATGGCTGGTTTTAATTTAGTACTTACTGCTGTAGCTGATACTTAAGATTTAGATACTAGTTATCTCATTGTGCCTATTTCTGTGTGTAGGTAAGGGGGCTGTTTCTTTTATAATTTAAATAGAATGTGTTGCTAGTCAAGGCTTAGTAGTAACTTATATGTAAATACCATTTATCTAAAATTTAAGCAGAGAACTATAATCAGACTCATGCTTTTTGATTTTAATTCTTACAGAATGAATACATGAAAGATGACTTCTTCATAAAAATTGAGACCTGGCATAAACCAGATTTGGGGACATCAGAGAACGTGAGTTGGGATTTGGATACCAAGCATTAGCAATATTTTCAACACATAGTCATCCAGATGAAGTATTCTATACTTGGTGGATAATTACTGCATAAAGTCAAAGCCCTACCAGTGATTAACGTAAAACAAGAAAAACATTACTGAAATCCTTCTAAGGTGGCCAAGCTGTCTGACCTAACAAGATGCAAGAACAAGAAAAGGGTTTTATTTTTTATGTTGAGGTCAGTGCAGATGCTTGATTCTCACCCAAATATTTAAATAGGTTTTCAGTAAGTTCTCTTAATTTCATGTTCTTTTACCTTAGACATGCTAGTGCTACTTAGGCTGACAAGTTTGTTTGAAAACAGGTTTCACAAGGCTATTGGCCTTTACCTGTGTACACTTCTGTAGAGTTATGTATTGAAGCTGCTTCTGTAAATTTTCCAGGCTGGCAATACTCGTTTCCCTCCCTAGAACAGCTGATTCAGTTCACAGGTCCCTTCTGGAGATTTTTTTTAATCTGTAGTGACAAACATACTTATAAACCATCCACAAAGGAATAGTTGTCAGTATGTTTTCAGTGCTTGGATGAGCTACAGAGAAGAATAGTATTTTTTGGACAGCTGTGCTTGCTATAATTGTAAGTTTAGGTATGCCTAACAGACTACAGGTGTGGAGCTGATTACATCTTCAGACCTTTATATACCTTCATACCACACACACTTCATCTGGTCCATATTAAAGGCAACCCTATGATTTTGGGAACCTACTAGATTTAGTCAGGTTATTGAAACCTGCCAAATTTGCACTTAGAATTTGTGCAGCTTCTTTCTAGATCAAAAAGCTCATGCAGATTACTGAATGGGTAATGTTTGTAATTAGAGCTTGATTTCATTAGCGCTAACGAATGTGACAGAAGAATACAGCTTAATCTTAAATCCAGGTTTCCTGAATGCACAAGAAGTGAAGGCTTTGTGCTGGTTTAAAATTGGTTAGTGAGTGAATTAAACTGTACCTGTGAAGATTATTCCCTTTTAGAAAGGCAGAGGAAGAAAGGATAGGTTTTGAGAACACTGCCTGTATGAAGCCCAGAAAAAAGCCCAGGGCACGCATATGTACTGCATAAGGTGCACCACTGTGCAAGGTGACAGCCTGGAAATCATTCCTTTTTCTCTTTTTGCAGGTGCACAATTTAGATCCAAACACATGGAAGAGTGTTGAAGTTGTCCATATTGACATTGCAGATAGAACTCAAGTAGAACCAGGAGTAAGTAAATGCTCTGCTATTGGCATATGGATGTAGCATGCAGCTAATTCCATTGATGCTTTGTGTTAATTGTGAATAAACTAAAATAGTATGGATTTTACCCAACAGATAAATGAAAATTGTCTTGAATAGAATCATTCATTCCAAAGTTCCACGCTTAGTAAATGCATTGACAACTTCAGTCTACTGAATTTGACTTCTAATTGCACAACTAAGACATGAAGGGCAACAGACTTTTGGCACAGGTGCGGTTTTTGCTTTTAACTGTAAATAAAGTAATTGATTCAGTCAAGCAAGCATTTGTGTGTGAGCCCAAGTGCAAGAATCCGTCCCAGCTGTCCTGCATGACAGAGCACAGTGTCTCCACCAAGCTACTCCTGTGCTTCTGCTGCTACTTTTTGGTTACAAATTCTTTAAATTAAGTTCTGTCCCTCCACACATCCTTCATTCTGGGCAATCTCAAGCGGGTCAATCAGGTTTTGCCATTGAAATCTAGACCTGCTTTTTCTTGTTTTTAAACTTTGTTCATTAGAGTAGTTCTCAAGACATGAACTGCTCATCTCTTCTGAAAACTGTGCGATTACTTTTTCAGTTTCATCTTTAGTGATTGCTTCGGCAACCGTAAATGTCCTGTATATACCCAGAAGTCTATCCATAGGAGCCTGTGGTCTTTTCCCCAAGAATTTGAAGCTTAATATCTTGATATAAGAAGCAAAAATTTAGAAGGACAGAATTTATTATTAAGACCACATAGTTAGTTACTCAGTGAATTTGTATGCAGAGCATAGGTATAAATTTGGAAGGAGTGTCTTTACCAGGATTGTGTGAAGTCTGTGTTAGCTTGCTTACACATGCGATGGAAGTAGGCGGCTAGATGAAGAAGTGAGTGTGGCAAAGTTTAGTGCTGGGCATGCACACTTTCAACTTGCCTTTTCAATAGCACTTTGCGCAGAAAAGACAGCGGTAGCCTGAATGTGGTTGTATGAAATAAATACATGAAGGGATTTCTAGTTAAGCTTTATATGCCATGTCGAGATTTTGCTGACAGGACAACGCTTAATATTTGTTGTCGTTACCGTTCTTTTCCCATCTATTGTCAATTTTTTGTTAACCAGCTCGCAGTCGTATGTGTGGATTGGAAGGGACCTTCAAAGATCATCTAGTCCATCCCCCCTGCCATGGGCAGGGACATATTTCACTAGACCAGATTGCTCAAAGCCCCGTCCAACCTGACCTGGAACACTTCCAGGGAGGGGACATCCACCCCTTCTCTGGGCAACCTGTTCCAGTGCCTCACCACCCTCATTGTAAAAAATTTCTTCCTTATATCTAATCTAAATCTACCTTCTGTCAGTTTAAAACTGTCACCTCTTGTCCTGTCCCTACAGGCCCTGGTAAAAAGTCTTTCTCCGTCTTTCCTGTAAGCTTTCTGTAAATATTGAAAGGCTGCACTGAGGTCTCCCCAGAGCCCTCACGTCTCCAGGCTGAACAACTCAAGTCTCTCAGCCTTTGTGCACAGCAGAGGTGTTCTAGCCCTCAGATCACTTTCATGGCTGTCCTCTGGACCCTCTCTAACAGGTCCTTGTCTCTCTTGTGCTGGGGACCCCAGGGCTGGATGCAGTGCTCCAGGTGGGGTCTCACCAGAGCAGAGGAAGAGAATCACCTCCCTTGACCTGCTGGCCATGCTTCTTTTGATGTCACCCAGGATGCAATTGGCTTTCTGAGCTGCGAGTGTATGTTGCTAGCTCATGTCCAATTTTTCATATCAGTTATGATTGATCTGAAGAAGAAGGTATGATATGTTGATTTTAGATGCTGGTTTACGCAACTTTAGAGGGCAGCTTCACCATACTTATTTATGTGCCTATCTTACTTCCTTGTTATTACTGCTGTTGCTTTCTACACATCTTTATCTACTGGGATTGTTGCCTAGTTTGTTCAGTTGTAACAGCTGGACTGTGTATGTGTATGTCTAATCATTTATTTTTGGATAATAGGCAAATGGTATGCACTAATATCGACACTTACCCATTTGTGTTTACGCAGTAAATCTGGTTGTCTTGGTTTTGTGCAAGTTGATGTTCTTTATACTATTTAATTGTTATTTTCTGAAAATAAATACGTGGATATCCTGTGTTGTGGGGAGAGGACTTCTTTGCAGGGAAGTAGAGGAAGGAGGGGAAACGCTGTGATGTGCGAAGGGGAAAGGTTTCTGCTTCAGAAATTTCCGTTTGCATTACCAACATAGGTGTATAACCTGCACTGTTGCTTAGCTGATGCTTAACAGATGATCTGTAGATTTACATGTGTGAAAATACATTGTTTGGAGAACCTCCCTGTAAACAAATTAAATGTGTCTTGCCTATTTTAATGCAGCAAGGAATCATTTTGCTGCCCCTTGTTCTTTCAGACGTTCCATATGACCTTAGAGCTGAACTGGCAGGTAAATGTGTGTTGTGCATTTTCTATTCCATGCCTGGAATTGTGGCAGACAACTACAATGCTGTCATCTGTCAGCTTGCTTGATCACAGTATGTGTAAACAAAGGGTTGTGCTTATTACTGTGTGTTGAACTTAAGTAGTTATTCTGTTTGAAGTACTCTTAGTGAACAGCACTGCTTATGCTGTATGCCCTCTTGCACTATTAGATTACATGGCCTGCCTTTGATATTGCCACTTTCCTTTGTACTGAAGACTGACAGATGGTGGTACGCTAAGAGAAGTTATATTTTGGCTCAGGACAAAAATCTATGTAACCCAGTATCCTGTTAGTGGCCAGTAGCAGATACTTGTGGAAGGCTGAGAAACTTGGGAAAGTATAGAATACTGGAAGCTGGGAGATGCATATCTCTGAAAGATCAATCTGTATTTAAAGGACTTCCAGAGCCAGTGGTTATATCTGGCCTGTTGCGTTTATTAGCCACTTACATGCCCATGTGCACATCTAATCCATTTTTTAACCCATTTATGCTTTTGACCTTTATGGCATCATGAATTCTGTAGAGTGTTAGATGGTATGGAGAAAAAATACTTCCTTTTGCCAGACTGATAATTAATGGGGGGGGTGTGTCCCTATTTATATTTTCTGCACAATTTATCTTACATATTCTGATCATATTTTCTTTTTCTCCCCCCC